TGATCTCTGCTTTTCCGAGGCGTGGAGGTCTCCAGACCTGCCTCAGGCCCTCTCCCGGCACAAAAGGGTTACGGCTCTTGACATCAGTTGGGTTTACATCGATGGAAACTTCACGTCGTGGCCTGCGTGGCACACGGGTCGTGCGTTTAAAGGGAGCCGGCATTTTTGTGGCATCTTTGAAGCTCCTGCAGGTTTCCCTTTGAAGGTGCCCCAGCTGGTGTGCGCATGTGTGCACGCTCGTTCTTTCATAACCACCAGCCACTTCATACTCAATGTCTTTAAAAATCGTATGATTAATGGCAGAGCTGGAAATATTTGTGTCTAGGTGCCTGGGAGACAAGGGGAGCCGGCGGCAGAGCTGGGGCTTTTTCCACGTCACCCCCGACCCCCCGGAGATGCAGAAATTTCTTGGACAGCATCCAGATAGAGAGTAGGAAGCCTGTTATGGACAAGGAGCTCAGCCTTTTGACAGACCCGAGTCTCTATTGCCTCACGGTGAGAAGAAGGGAAAATGGGAGAAAAATGAGGGGTGGGAGGACAGGAGATGAGCCGAACACAAAGGAATCCAGGCAAAAAACCAAAAATATATTTTCCCTGGTGTGGTAGCGATGAGACGGCAGTCCATAGCCCTAGATCCCTTTGGACGGTCTCCTGAGGGATACCATTCCCCATTTTGAAAATGTTTTTACTGCACGAGTAGAACTCTTCAGGAAAGCTCCTCCGGAGGGGTAGAATTGGTCAATACTGTAACATTTCGAAGTGAATGAAATTGTTATTGTTTATATATTATTTATGGATACTTGTTTTAATATAAGAGACCATTTGTTTCACTGCAATAAGGAAGAAATTGATTATCTTATTAATAGAGGTTATATAAGAGAATCAATGGATTCTAATTTACTGGAATCGAGATACGGATAAAAAAGGAACCAGTAAGCAATATGGTGTTAATGTACATAAACATGTATATGTATATATATATGTATATATAAATTAATGTACATATATATGTACATGTAGTGTTTTAACCAGTGGATCCCTAGGACGCCTCAGCCAGAAAAATTGACAGGGCCCCCTAAGCTTCAGCCTAATAAATAATATAGCCTTGACTAGAGGTGACAGCTGGACCAAAGTAATGGAGCACTTTAGACATTACTTTTAAACAACCACCAGAGGGGAGAGAAGTTCCTCCTCAGTTTCCCCTCGCTATCCAGAAACACTGCTTGCTAATAAATAATTGCCGGCGCTTTCCCACCCCCTTCCAAGGTGGCTGCATTTCTACAGCCCAAGACAGTGCCTGTTACCTCACCCGCCCAGCTGTGTCGGTGCTGCGCGGGGATCGTTCCCAGCTTTCACAGGTAAAGTTAGAGAAACAGGAATCTCTCTCCTTCCTCAAAGGAACCGCCCACCACCCAAGAATTCAGCAGACCCTGCCCCATGAAGCCGATTTCCAAACAACAGTTGGTGCCAGTGTTAGCAAATGTTCCAAGCGGCGCTTTCAGTAACCCGGCGTGTATCGTGGTTTTTAAATATGACGGAGCCAAATTTCCACAAACTTCTTTGGGCCCTTTATGGGATTGAGACCCTGACAGGAGAAAACTCGTCAGCCCAGCCCACCGACAGAGGGATCTGCAGGCGTCTCTAAGTGGCCACTTTTCTTCACAAGGGGAAGGCAGGAGGAACACGGGGGAAGCCCCCAAAATATGAGGCGGTGGAGCTTCCGGCAGGAGGTGGGGAAAGGAGGCAGGGCACCCCCAGTGGACCGACTTGGCCTCAAGGAGCAGGGGTTTTCATGCCCTGCTCTGGGAAGCATCTGCAGAACAACTTGTGGAAAAGAGAGAGAAAGAGAGAGGGAGAGAAGTGTACCTTGTCTCCTGGCTGTGGCCGCATCACAGATACTCGGTCGTAGCCCTTCCTCAGCAGAACCCAGAGGGCATCCAGTTTTCCCTGGTAAAAGAAATAAATATTGCTTAGCTACTGACTTAGCAAGGCAGTTGGCATACATACGGGGAGAAATCCTGCAAGATCAAGGCCAACAATTCCTAATTCGGGATCCTTTACTCAAGAGATGCCCCCAACCCACCCACCCCCAACAAGAAGGTAAGCAGAGAGAGACTACCTCTGAATATTGAGGTTCTCTTTCCAATCCCGGCTCGTTGCCAATGAGTCGTCCCCTTAGTAAAATTCTGAGAAAAGATTTGCCCAAAGAAAGACCAACGAAGACCCAACGGTTCAGTTTCCTCCAGGGGCTGGCGAGAGTCTTCGAGAGGTCCAGAAACACGACAGGTGAGACAGAGGCTTGTAGGTGCCACTTTTCAGAACGAAACCTGCCACGGTGGATGCCAAGACACCAAAGACAGAACGTGCCAGGGGATGGGGAGGGGGTCTCAAAAAGTGGGACTGTAGGCAGGAAAAGCTGACTCTGAAACAAGTTTGCTAGTTTTCAAGTTGCCACTCTCCTTTTCCGCTGGGTTGTTGCTGATGTTTAGTCTTTCTTGTTGGCAAAACAGACTAACACAACCACACCTCTCTGACAACCAACAAACGTAAAGTCATTGAAACAGAACTTGGAGCGAGGCACAGAGAGCTATCCCGAGGGAGCTTGGAGGCAAACCAAGGGTATGATTCGACGGGGGAACCGCTTGTCTTTTGGATCTCGTGTAGCGCATTCTGGTGTGAGCTCTTTCCCAGTGGTCACAGCGATTCATCCTAACCCCAATCCATGCCCAGGATGGACCTTTCTGGGCTCCTCTTCTTCCGGGGCCAGGCTAGAGCCAATCCTACATAGATGGGAGGATCATGGAAAGGGAGACGGCTCCCAGCAATGCGACCTTTTCTGGTGTAATCAGACCCTAACCCTTTGCAAGGACCTCAGGCCAGCCCATGGGAGGGTTGCAGCACAAACCTACCAAGAGCACCCTGTAATCCTTCTCTTGGCCAAGGTCCCGACACCTCTTGCTGGCATTTCAAGCCTTCCCCAGATACAGCTGTGTTGGAAAGACAACTTAAACAAGAAGCCTGGAGCTCATTTGCAGAGCACGCTTGCAAAAAACGTGCATGTGGCGAGCAGACACAAACGTGAGCGCCAACCACCCTCTGGGGAGCACACTGGTTTTTGTGGACAGACCCTGCAGGGTTTCATGAATGGAAGACTGTCCTTCGATGACAGGAAGCAGCGTCTTGCCAGCTTCGCGGTGCCTCGAATCCCTCCGGCCAGTCGCTCAGTCTCGGAGGAACCAGCCGCTCATGTCCTAGGGTTCGTCAGAAATCGGTGTCCTGGTAGGCACTGCCCCAAGAAAGAAAACTGCAGCGATCCCTCATGGTTCGCTCATCATGAGAGCCAAGTCCAGCAACCTGGCTTGTGTCTTCCCTGAGAAGCCAGAGAAATGACCCGTGGTTGGTTCTGGGTTGTGTTCCCTGGCTTGTCAGAGGAGGGATAAGCCCGAGTTGTCAGGCTGGGACCCTGTGCCCCAGAAAACCCCAACCCGGAGCTCAAGGATTGGTCTGATACCTCCGCCTGTGTGAGGAGAAATCAGGCATGGGGCCCTGAAGCCTGGCCCTTACCAACCTCATGTGAGCTTCCCTAAGTCTTTGGTGGAAGGCGGGGTTTTGAAAGAGAGAAAGAAGGAGAGAGAAACATGGAATTCTGCAAGAGCCTGACTCCAGAATTCTTAACTCGGAATAAGAAGAGCAACAGAATTCATCTCTGTACAAATCAAAACACCGGCTTAGAGACCAGGGTGAAGGCTGCTGCTAGAATGAAGCTGCCTGTTGTGGGGCTTCACCCCCAATATTTTGCAAGGTGGGCATGTCCTGCCTGTGCTCTGTTCGGCTGGCAGAAAGCGCGCTGGCGTTCTTCAAGCAGATCCACTGTGCTTCATTTTAAGATAAGGTTTTGTCCTAGAAGGTGTTTTCAATACCAGAAACGACATTAGCTTACAGCAATCTGGTCTGGAGAGTATGCACTGAACATAAGCAGAAAATTCCCTGTCTTGCAGGAGGGGGTATTTCTGTTGCACTCTTGAGCTCTGCTTGCATGCATGCCCCGGATCCCCCCCCCCAGGGCCTTGGCCCCTGGGAAGTCTTCCTTAGACCCCACTTAAGGGGCTATGTCCGCAAAACCTGTGCAGGCAATGCAAAAAGTGTGCCCCTGGGCAAAGAATCTGGCTTCTTGACAATCTCAATCTTTTTTTGCCCCGTCAAGGGCCATGTTTCTAGTCCTCATGTTGGGAATCTATGCTTGAATCTTAGTAACCCAACGTTTGGGTGGACAAGACATTGAGTGCTCAAAGGAAAGGTACTGGTAGGGCGCCTCGCCCTTTCCCATGCTTGGCAGAAGAAAAATAAATAATACAATGCTAAGAAAACGATACAAAGATAATTTGTTTACATTACTTATCCAGACTATCCAATCCTGCTTTTATTGGCCCAGAATATTGGTATTTTTAGCACAGCTGTCACCGAAACATTGCAAATGCATCTCTGCAGCCTTACTGCTAGCCGAAAGATTTCAGCAAGTCTATAGACGCCAGGCCTCAATTCATACATTTGCGGGATGATGAATATACCGTTAGCTAACAATGATGGAATGAACCACGAGAGCCAAAGGTCTCCCAGACTCTGGGGAGTGTTGTTTTTTTCTCTCCTGTTTCTTTTTTTTCTTTCTTTTTTGAAGTTGGCAACGAGAGCCATTTTTATCCATCTCCGATTTACACCGGGCGACAGTTCAACATGCAAATCTGGACTTCAGAAGTCTGCAGATGAGTTTGGGGAATCCAAAAGATGACACGGGCATGGCAGGGACTTATGCTTCCATGCTTCCTAAATCTTCCTGTCCCTTGAAAGCAGACAGAGATCTTCCCCAAGGACAGGCATGCAGCCTAAGCTCAAATCGTGTGCTGGAACGCTGCATGCTTGCTGCCTGTTTTTCATTTCTGGAGTGGACAGGAGGCAGGAGGAGGCAGGCTACGATTTTACCCAGCAATGCTCACAAACAGAGTAAGACATGCCAACGTGTTTTTTTTTTCAGTTCCACAAAAGAATAGGAACCCACCAAAATACCTTTGACAATCCAGGCTGCCGAGGTTTCAGGCAGAGATATTTTATTTTTCCCATGTCCATTTGTTGATTTTAGTGGTTGAACTGGGTCCACTGCATGCACCCCATGCATTCTATCTCAGCCAAGGGCTCTACCTCAACCCAAAGGTGTTTTTGCTCTTACGGTTCTAAGCAGAAACAAACGGAAGGAATAATTTCTGCACCAGCAGGGGGTCCCTTTGCGCTAGTAAGAACGGTGCTAAGGTACAGCTGGGACCTATTAAATACATCTGTTCAGCGGGCAGAGAGCTGTAACTTTTACAGTTGCCAACGGTAGAGACAGAGAGTCCAGATCTGCACCAGAATTTCAGTAACATGCAGAGGAGAATGAAGCTCATTTCCACCGTGCAGTGCAACTGGATTAGTTCTGGTCTGGGGTTAGTGGCTGACCACATGGTGAAAGAGAGCGCCACGTCACAGAGCAGTGGTGGGTAAGTCCTACTGGTGTCCTGGGCTCCACGCAAGGAAAGCCGGTACCACCACTACCACCCCCACCAGTCCCCTCCTTTCTAGCTGGAGAATATATCCTCTCCCCTCCCATCCTCTGAGCAGCAGGTGAAGGAATGGAGGAGAGAACCTTTCAGATGTGTACCTTAATGGGCGAGTACCACTTAGGTGGCGAAGTGGACTTCCTCATGTTGTTCCCGAGGTTCCTGGGCTCTGGGAATTCATATTCCTGCTCCGGCATCTTGACTCGGGCATTCTTGGCCTTCTCTAGCTTAGCACCTTCTTCCGTGGAACCCTTTTCTCCCCAGCGAACCTAAAAAGAAAGAGAGAGAAAAGAAAGTGGACAAAAATCCATTGCATTCACTGACTGTCCGAGCTTTCTTCCCGACGGGGGTAACCAGACACAGGACTCCTCCATCATGGCTACCAACTAGCTCCCAGGCATGGAAGACAACTTTAGAAGCTTCTGTAAGCAAGTCTACTTTTATTTTCTCTTCCTGTACTCTCTCTCTCTCTCTGTGACACAATAAATAACAAGATTTTATGAATGTCTTGATTGGTTGCTGCTCTTTTGAGTTCATGCTGTTTAACAGCCATAATTACCAGCAAGCTCTCTTTGACCATTAGGAAAAGGTCAACAATTCTTACATGAATGAGGGAAGCTCACACTTCTCAAAGGTCCTCTGTGAAAACACACTTTGGTCTATTAAGAACTTCCAACAGCCTGGGAAATGGGTTTCACTTACCTCCATTCTCTTGATACCCCCGACCCCACGTCCGCCGTAATAGGAGGCATCCACCGTTGGCCACTTCTTCTTGGGAAGACCGTCATCGTCTTCCTCCTAGAAGAAAGGAGAACCACCATCAACGACGCCCCATGAAAGCTTTTGTGGCGTTTAGCAGAGATTCAAGAGCAACCGCAAGTGGTGACCCAAGGAGACATTTTTGCAACTTTCACCTTCACGTGAGGAAGCTTCAGCGGATCCATGGAAAGAACAATATCGAGGTGAGAGGGGAGGGAAGCAAAGTGAGACTTCAGGAGTGCTGCAAAGGAAAGAGGCCCTTCCCTAGGAGAAGCTTCAGGTGCAGAGCTTCTGGCTTCAATCGAGCCTGCCCCAGATCTAGGCAGAAGACATGCTGGGGAACGAGGACATGCCGTCACACTGTGGGGCTGCATCTCTGAGCCAGCAAGGGGAGACTCCAACATATTTATTTCATCTTTTTTGCTTGCTTGCTTGCTTGCTGCTTAGATTTCTGTTTTACTTTGGCTAGAAACATACTGGTGTTCACCTAAGAGTTGTGTAACTTTCTGGGGCTAATTGATGAGGGACCAGAATGTATCTCAGTTGAGTAACTGAGTGCATGACTACGCATGTGACGAAAGTGCACCCTGATGCCTTGCTAATTAGCCATAATTAGCCATGGCAAACCTTATGCAAAGACAAAGACCAACAGGATTCTTGGCTTTGGTGCAGTTCTTGTTAGATGTGACCAATCCCGGACAGATCGTGCACAATACGAAAAAGTTCAGCCTGATGGTCACGAGCTTTGCTTATCCAGGACACGAAGCAAGATTGTCTTGTGGCCTTCACTTTAGCGGAGTAGGTGTTAGATGAGATTTTAGTGGCTGTTAAATTAGTTTCCATTGGGTCCCATCTCCAAACGCTCTCTAGCCTCCTCCTGTTTTGCTTCATTACACGTAGCTGCTGGTTATACCAAGCAGCAGGGTGTGTTCGGCAATGAAGGGGGCATTTAGGTGCGCTTGTGCCAGCTGCCCTGGTGGCCGTGGTACACCAACCATCCACCAGAGCTTCAATGGGGGCACCAACTATCTCAGCCGGTTATTCCCGCATTACATCTTGGAAACCAACAGGATCCAACAGCCTGCAAAGGGGGGGGGATTTTAATAGATCCCTGCTCCCCATGGGGTGTGTGTGTGTGTGTGTGTGTGCCACTTAGAAATTACATTTTATCAGGTGGTGGTCCAACCATGACTCGGGGCACCCTGCTGGATGGCTCAGTGGTTTAGGGGTTGGCCTGCAGAGCCAGAGGTTGGGAGTTTGATTCCCCCACGGGGCCTCCTTGACAGAAGCCTGATTTGATGATCCAGAGCTTGCCCAGAGAGTGCTTTAACCTCTGTGGGGAAGGATACAAGCAGCACACTTTGCTTAATTTAAAAAGAAAAGAAAAGAAAAAGGGCCAAGCAGGACTTTTTCAGAAGGGAAGAGACAACCCAGCCTCTCCCACCTGTATCCCTCCTGACCCCTGGAAGACCTGAGTGGAGGCACCTTCGCTGCATCTCGTTAGCACCCTGGGCTGTAAATCATCTGAAAAGCCCAGCCACAAATCTTTTAAGAAAGCACCAAGAGAAGAGTGTTTTGCACCAAGGAGGAGGCAGCTCAATCTCTCTTGGCTTGTGCCTTTTACACTCGAGATAAAGCTGCAGGCCTCTGCCAAGACAACTCTGTCTTCCTGCATGAAGGTTTCTGGAACGATTCTTTTTTTTTTTTCTTTTTGGTTTTTTTTTTAAACTTGAAAACTGGGAAGAAAGCCACCCAAATATTTTCTTTCAGCGTTTCTTGCTCTCGCTCTCCATCTCTCTCTCTTCCCTCCTCTCCTGGCTTTGTTTCTGCCTGATGCACAACAGGAAATTCCAAAGCTTAAGGCATTCTCCGCAGGGCCTTAAAAGCCTCCTCAGCCCTTTAAATCTCCCAGCAAGCGATGCCAGCGAGCCAGAAGGCAGAGCCTCTCGCAATTAAAAAACAAAAACAAAACAAAAACAGACATCGTCGTTGGAGAAGAGTCCCCAACCGTCCCAGGAGAGGAAGGATCCATGTGAAAAGTGCCGACGGGGCACCTGAGAGAGGAAAACCCCCTGAGAGGGAAGATGTCAGGATCAGCGCTCCGCTCCAAAGGAAGGAGGACCAGGAGTGCTGGCCGTTGCGTGTGGAAGACCGGCCTGTGCCCCCTTCACTGGGAGAGGGGGGATCCATTCGTGGCACACCTTCCTGCACCTCTCATTTCCCGTCGAGCTGCTTCTGAGTGACTCTGGACAATACGGAGCTGCCGAGGCGTGCAAGAGGTCCGAAAAGAGGTTTACCTTTGCCACCCCAGGAGCCGGGACTCGAACCCAGGACTCCCAAGCCCTAGTCGTACACACTATCTCCCATCCCACGCCTGGCCGCTCACAACATGCCTGGGAGCCCACACAGGCACAGGTGCGGGACGGAAGGCATCCACACAACGTATCAACACTTCAGGCCTTCTCGTTCGTGCCCCGAGTCCTGCTATTGGTGGAACTGTCCACATTGGTTTCCTCTGAAATGTTTCGCACACCATAAAAGATTGTTCTTCGAATTAAACGATATGCCGAAAAGACCCCTTTGGCCCGGAATCGGTTCCTGTTGTGCTGGGGATGTGCGTGTAAAACAGGGACCTTCTTCTGATCTGCTAGGTCGTCAGCTGGGTGGTTCTTGGGCAGAGGTGGAAATTGCAGGACATGGGAAGCGTCCTCAGTTCGGGTGCCTTCGCCCTGGGCAGAGAGAGAGAGAGGAGGCGTCTGGTCCCGCTCCCTTGGCCATGCCTTCCAGCGTTCTCCTGCAAGAGACGGTCCAGCCATCATCCTGTCCTGCGGGGGGGGGGGGGACACTCTTGAGCATCCAGCAACGCATGTCATTTGGGTCCTCCATTGGTTTAGCCTAGCCTTTTTCTGGTTTAATATTCAGACCAAGGTCAAGGCAGCCCCACAAGCCAGATCTCGGAGGCTGCTGGGGCTTTAAGAGCTCCGCGGGTTTCCCTAATTCAAATAGTCAGCAAAATCAGGAAGTTTATCAAGCCCGCAACGGACCACCAGCCACGGCTGGGGCGAGTCCCTTCTGCCTGGTTGGCCACAAGCCGTCCAGGACAGCTGTCAGGAGCCGTCCTCCTCCGGTCAGAGCCCAGCAACTGAACCACAGCTTCCAGGAAAGTTCATTTCAGGATACTAGCCACAGCATCAATAACCTCGGATTCAGAACTTTTTAAAAGAAAGTTAAGAGAGAGAGAGAGAGAGAGAGAGACCCTTCTGCTTTAATCACAAGGCTTCTTTGTTTTTCTTACCAATCTAAGAGAGAGAGAGAGAGAAAAAAACCCTTCTGCTTTAGTCACAAGGCTTCTTTGTTTTTCTTACCAATAATTAAGATAGAAAACAATTTTTTGCAGCCGAAGAGCCACGGCCATAATTTTGGATTAGAAAACTGCCAGAAATCATTGCTGGTTTCCAGCTATGGAGTCATCGCCTCATCACCCCTCTGACCTAAACAATCCTCATTAAGTTGGCAACATCGTAATCATTTTGCTTCCAGAGCTCTTCAAAAAAAATAAAAAAATAAATAAAACACAAATCAAAGCCCAGAACGAAACAAACAGGGGGAAGTGGGGGGCTCTGTTTTCTTTCCTTCCACCACCTTTCCAGCTGCTTGAATTCGACCAAATAATTGTTGCATCTTCATCTTGTACACTTTCCCAGCTTTTCAAGCCTAGATGCATGTTACAGAAATCATACGAACGCGATAGACCTAACTTTTAGAGTTTCCGATTTTTTAACCAGATGTCACGCGAGTGCGGATGCACAGACCACATGCAATCCCGGGTAAGGATAAAACTTTTATTGGCCTATCTTCCGCTTGGAGCATTTGGAGCGACTCAAAATCTAGGGCCTGGAAAGGTTGAGAAAGGCGATACCCCAGCGCTGAAGATTCAACTCTGGTATCAAGCAGCTGGAAATAACTTTATTTAGTCCTGTTGTTCCCCGGCGGAAACCATTCCACTGAAGAGACAAGGATTACAATATCTATGTCGCATCTGTGGGTTTGAGATTCCTGAAAACCACGAGATCTGAGGATGATTTTTCTCCTATTGCTCCTATGATTCTTGCACGCAAGGAATTTATCTTGCAGCAGTTTCCTACATCAGCATTATTTTGTTTTAAGCAAAAGAAAAGATGGCAGCCGAGCCCCTTCAAGCCACCATGGCCCAAAACAGCCCAGCCCAAAGCAGGAGACATATAACATTTTCTTTCTTTCTTTCAACATATGGTATCTATTTACTGAGCTGGAGAAAAAGGGTTCTCTTGAGCTGCTACCTGAGTTCCAGAAACACAGCGTGAGGAACAAAACCAACCCTTAAAGGCTACATGAGAGCCTGATTTTACTTTATTGTACATTTATGTTTCAATGCCATGATAGAAAAATCAGCTGGTCGCCTGGATCTTTCTGCTCTTCAGCATTTCCATGTGATCTACCTTTAAAAGTAGGCTTGGAGCCTTTAGAGCTAGTGGCAAAAGTATGAACTTCAGCAATGGCAGTTTACGCTCATGTCAGCCATCACCACCTTCTGTATTTCTTTCGTTCCTGCCCGTTTCCACCAGAAAAAAAAAGGCAGGAACAAGGCCTTTCAACCCTGCTTCCCTCTTCAGTATGTTCACCTTAAGTGAAAGGCAAGATGACAAATTTGTTCTATCCTCTTCAGAACACCAATTTGAAAATAATCAATATGTCCTCTTGAAAGAGGCCATGCTATGGGCAGATTCCTCCACCATCAAGCATCTGTGAATGAGGAAGACTTAAGTGTTAGAAATTACTTGTGGCTCCTCTCACCTTGGGGGTGTCCTGTTGTCTCCCTGAAAGAGATTCGGATCTGGCACAACTCAGCAACTCCTTCGCCTCTCTCAATCCCTCTTAAATCCTTTCTGGCCCCTTTCTGCCAGCAGATCTGAGCCAACAGACCCATCCTGCGGGCAGATCTCTTGAGCTCAGCTGCCAGAAGAAGGTGCTTCCAAGAGAAGGGCAAAAGGACATTCAGAAATGTTCCTAGGCCACCAGAAAGGGTCCGTGCCCAATCCTAACCATCTGCAGCCTGCAAATGTCTGTGGAGCCAGAAGCTGGGAGATCAGTTCCTCACTGTGCCTCTTTGGCAGGGGGTGGGTAAGGTAAGTCGCCTTCCGGCTCTGCAGTTCTAAGATGAAAGTTAAAGATGGCAGTGGTCGATGGCAGAAGACCCGAGACCCCTCTAGATCAATAGGTAGGGGAACTACGTGATGCTTAGGCTAAATAATAAAAATTTTTAAAATCCCAACCAACAGAAAACATGTACATTAAAAAGGGTGTGACCCACCTCTGGGCAAGATGGGACAGTTTCGCTCCTTGCTCCCCGACCCCTGCGCCACTGCCATTTTGGAGAAAACTCAACTGCCGGTTTGCAAGGCGACTGGTTTTCCTGGCTGGAATTCCAGAGCTGAAGCAATGAGCCGGGTTTTTCCGAGTTTGGTTTCAGGAGGGAGAGGGGGGGGGCTAACAGAATTGCTCCAGAGATTCTGGGCTGCGTGAGGGATGGGTTGTGGCTTACAGACGTAAGATGCTTACATTTTGGTCACCATACACCCAACTGTGTCCCCGGCTGCGGCTCTTGGCCAGTGGCTTCTCCCCGGCTTGCGTTCCCTAATCCAGTGATTTACGCGTGCTCCATAAACCTTCACCTTCCTGGGGCCAGGACCTGCTTGTCATCTGTTCCCAATAACGCTTGCGTTCCACACACCAGTCACACACCCTTCCCTTCGGATCCCTGCCTCAGCTGGAAGCCTCTTTCCTCTCTGCCTTCGGCCTGCCCACAACAGAGGGGTTAGTCCAGGGTTATGGGGAGAGAGGAGGAGGAGGAGGGGAGCCGGTCTGGACCCAGGCAGTTCTGCCTGCCTGCACAGCACGACACGGGAAACATCAAGGATAACCAGAAGACATTTCCCGCTTCCCTGAGCTCACCCTCTTGCCCTCGGGTTTATTTTAAGTTATCTGCCAACGAGATCTTTCAGGAAAACGAGGGAGTGAAAAAGGAAACAATCCAGGAAAGATTAATAAACAATGATGAAAGCTACATCAACAGCTCTGCCATGCTGACCGGCGGCTGCCGGAATCTTTGCTGACTCTGTGGGTCTGGAAGGATATTTTTTGGGGGGGGGGAGGGAACGCTTGTCTTTTTGTTCTCCTTTCCTTCTTCTTCTTCTTTTAAAAAAGAAATCCACTCCATTAATCTGATACTGGGGATCCAGGAGGCCTCGGTGAAGTCACGCTTTCTGCAGAGATACTTCTGGCAGGAATCCAGCGTCATACCAGACAGCATTCTTGGCTTCCATTTAGCCTAAACGATGCCCCGGCTTTGGGCTCTGATTGGGAAGATGAAATGATCCAGGGCTTGGACGCTGTTGGATTACAACTCCCACAATCCCCACGGCCAGAGGATTGTGGGAGTGCTTTTCAAAACAGTTCTGGCACAAATGCTCAATGCTGATGCGAGTTTAAAACTCTTTCTGTATTTTAATGAGATATATTTTCTTTGGCTCAACCTTTCCTTGAGGTATAATTTGCTTTCCTAAAAATGGGATAATTAACGCCTCTCTCAACTGCTGCATCAGCCCGAACTATACTGTTTAGACACCTGCATTGTTAAATGAACCTCTGGATCACACGGGGGTCATTTAAAGGCAGAGGAAGTGCTGCATGAAGGCCTGAACCCAGCCAGGGTCCGGAGGAAGGCTTCATAAGCCAACTCTCAACACCCAGAACCTGCACAGAGGCTGTGAAAGCGTGTGGTTTATCTGGCCTGGAAGGTGATGCTCCACACGCTCAATATACAGAATTTCCCAGGGCAAAAGTCAGGTTAGTCTGTCTCAGTGAAAACAACATATAGTCATGTGTCACCTTTAAGATCAATCTATCAGACAAACTTCGTAGTCTTCTAGGCACTACAAGATTCCTCGTCGTTCCTCCTGTTCTAGATGCACTCCCCTGAAAGACTATGGTTTTGGGGTGCTGCTCAAATCAGCCTTCCCAGTGGAGACCCCCACGCGGCAACGTGGGCCTTCTGGCTGCTCAGCCCAGGGCCACCTTCAGGAAAAACGCAGGGCTCGATACTATGATGTTTTTGGATGACAACTCCCAGTATGAGTGTCATGCCGGTTTGGGCAGTTCTGGCACTTGTGGCCCATTTTTGAAAAAAATATAAACTGGTCACGGGGACCTAAATTGGTCCTGGTGATTCCAGATTAGACTACTGCAAAGGCAGTATAGATGGGGCTTGCCCTGGAGACTATCCCCCAATCTCAGGGGCTTCAAAAATCACCACTGCTGGCGTCAATGAGCCGGTTCCACACAATATGTACAGACACGAGTGGTCAGCAAAAGGAGCAACTCTGCAGTGAACGTCTGTAAGGAGTAACCTCAGATCAATTCCCTCAGAGATCATACGTACTACCTCCACAGGGCTGCGAGCCCTTCACAACAGCCAGCATCCTCTTGGCTGATCTTTCCACCCTGGGAACTCCAGTGGGTTGCTTTCAAAACAAATGAAGGTGATGATCCCCCCATGAGTGGTTTCCAAACTCCTGGGCATCCTGCTGCCTTCTTGGTTTTGAAGAAGGCCTCACCCCCTGCCCACCACTCCTTCCTCATCAGGTCAATCATGCTCGAGGCCAAAGGGTGGTTGGACAGCAGGAGCTTCTGAGTCTGAGCATCTAGGAATTCAGCTCACCCAGGAAGAGGACGGTGCACGGTGCTCCCGTTGGATAAGCAGGCTTCTCTCAGGAGATTTAGTAATCACCTCTGCTAAATTACAACCGGGTTGCTGGATGCCAAAATCGGCTGGAGGCAAAACCTGCCATGACCTTGCAATGTGCCTCTGCCTGGTTGCTGAGCGCACAAAGTGATGTCAGATGTACAGTAAGTACTCTCCAGTTACAGGTCGACCTCTAGCCTTGCCTTAACCAGCCAGGCGGGTTACACGTTTTGCCGGCGCAGGACAAGAAATCAGAACTAAAACATCATGAACCAAACGGGACCATGTGCTTCCTTGAAGAAGTGCTCAGGTTTGGAATCCCTGGAGATGAACCATTGAGAACCTGGAAGTCATCACGGGGAAGATAATTTGGGCCTCACCCAGACCAGTTTTTAGAGTAAACAATGTGTAATTCAGCCTACAAGGAAATCAAACATTCAGAGCAACATCTGTGGGTTTGGGAGGAAAGGAGATGCTTCCCCCATTTTGCAAACTCTGGCGTCTAATCCTGTTTAATATAATATGCAACAAAGTGGTAAATTGTTTGATGAAGAATGTGAGTAGTTTTAAAACACCTTCAATGAGTTGGTGTTAACCCATGAGAGATTTGTCTCCTGGATGAAAATTCTTTTTGAAAAACAGTCCAGAACTTTTCTGCATCATCGTTTCTCAACCATACAGGAATTCATTCTTCTAGGATTTGTGCAAGGAGTAATCAATGTTCCCTCTGGTTTCCAAACTCCCCTGCCCAACCAATCCTGCCATAAATGATAAATACCCTAACCAAATGCCTATACAGTACATGCATGAGTGTCTTTGTGGGAAACTGGACCAGCTAATGGGTCTTGGATTGTTCCACAGACTAACTGGCGTGTTGTAAGATATGAAAAGATTTAAGCTCATCGATGAGAGGGACTGCCTTGATTTTATACTGATTTTATGCAACACATAAAGAAAGAAAGAGGAAGCTCTCTCTCTCTCTCTCTCTCTCTCAGTTTTATGCAACACATTATAAGAGTTCATTTAAAGAAAGAGGAAGCTCTCTCTCTCTTTCTCTCTCTCTTTTGATAAGCCAGTTAAGAATGGAAAGCAATGATGCAGAAGACGCAGCAAAGAACGGTCAAGGAGTGAAGGCTCTTACCTCACTGTCTTCCATAGGAGGCGGGGGCGGCTCCTTGATAATCTAAAAAGGGGTGAAAGAACAGACACGGAACGTTACACAACAGTCTCACTGCACTTCAGCCAAGGTTTAACCAAAGTCAGGACTCACCCCACAAGAAGGCAATTCTAGGGCAATTCTAAGCATGATAACATGCCCTTCAGTTTACGGAAGGGAAGGGGGAATTGCAGCTCGCCCTCACACCCACCTGAGAGGCAACCTCAGCAAAGGATTGAAGCCATGATCTGAGGCCCACCCCTTCCTCAGCCCACCTCCCAGCTGACATGAGAAGGCCATGAGCCAGGATGCCTTCCCTCAGCCTGTCTCCCCACCTGAAGATCTGCAGTACATGAACAGTCAGACAGGCAGCTTCACGTGCTGTCGTGAAACATGTGGCACTCTTAAAAGGCAGCATTACACAGACTAAGCATCAACAAGATGGCTCAAGGGTTTAGATCTCTGGCTGCGGAGCCAGAGGATGGGGGGGGGTTCGATTCCCCCACTGGGGCCTCCTTGACAAGGACTGGATGCGATGGTCCACAGGGCCCCTTCCAGCTCTGTTCGATTCCCCCACTGGGGACTCCTTGACAAGGACTGGATGTGATGGTCCACAGGGCCCCTTCCAGCTCTGTGGTTCTAAGATGATGATGATGATAGTGAAGACCCTCCTCTGGCGGAGACTGTGATGCTCAGTGGGATATAGGAGGAAGATTGCTCCCTTTTCAACTTAAGACTGGTATTGCAAAGAAGGCACCAGGGTGGTCTAGTGGCTACAGTCTTGAAGCAGGACTTGTGAATCTGTGGGCCACACATGGGCCCCTTAATTCAGCCCCCAAATGGAAACTGCATCACACAGGTGAAGACCCTCCTCTGGCAGAGACTGTGATGCTCAGTGGGATATAGGATGAAGATTGCTCCCTTTTCAACTTAAGACTGGTATTGCAAAGAAGGCACCAGGGTGGTCTAGTGGCTACAGTCTTGAAGCAGGACTTGTGAATCTGTGGGCCACACATGGGCCCCTTAATTCAGCCCCCAAATGGAAACTGCATCACACAGAAGATAGGGTTCACCATATTTGGATCCAAAATAGAGTTTTTTCTGCCCCCCAGAACCAGGAGATCAAGGGTCTGGAGAACGGGACAGGCGCCTGCCGGGCCACAGGAATGCAGGTTCTGGTTAGCTCTAAATCACGGGTGGGCTGTGACTATATCCAAAGGGGTGCCCCTGTTGATGAGATTCAGTGTGCGGCCAAAAAGGAAGGAGAAGGGGGAAAGGAAGGGCCAAATGCTGGAGCCCCTCAAAGACTACCCGATGGGTTCTAGAGCAAGGTTTTGTGTGTCAGGAGATTCAGCCTTTGGAAGCAGTCCTTGAGCCACAAAACCTCACCCCGAGACAAACGCGTTAGTCTTTGTGTATAGTCCATCTTTTTTTTTGTTTCGCTTCTTTGTTGTTTGCTTCTGCTTCTGTTTTTCATTTTTGCTAGCGTTGCATGACTAAGCCTCCCTCTCTCAGTCACTCTCCAGGACTGAACAGTGGAGAAGGGGGACCACTTCGGCTACTCTGAGCTATTTGGAGGAAGAGAGAGAGAGAGAGAGAGAGATGGAAATGAAATAAATAAATGCCATGGAAGTGGCTGGAGCCTTGCCTTTAACTCTGTCTCTCACGGGATTTATTATCATCGGCAACAACATGAGATGGGAAACAGAACTTCCGTGCGCCCAGCAAGCTCTCTCGTTTTTGACTACATTTTTCATTCCTTTCACTCCCAGAATCCACCAACAAGGGTGGATATGTAGTCCAAAAAGTAACATTTCCTTACTTTGGAGCAGACATACTTATGCATATGTGTTTGGCATTTCTTCCCCCACCCAATAAAAATACCCACCCCTCCTCCCCAGTCTTTCCTGGCGTTCATGAAAATGAAAAGCTATTTGCACTAGGTTTTCGGAACAGCTCCAGAGGGAATCGATGTGAACATCCGGCGGTTTATTTCTTGCAAAAAAAAAAAGTGCATCAAAGACTTTGCAGGCAGCTGGCAAGCCCTGGCAACCGGCTCTTCAAGAGTGACAGAGAGCCAGGAAAACTAAAAGTGAGATGGAACTATCAGCTGAGAGAGAGAGATGGAAATGAAATAAACAAATGCCATGGAAGTGGCTGGAGCCTTGCCTTTAACTCTGTCTCTCACGGGATTTATTATCATCGGCAACAACATGAGATGGGAAACAGAACTTCCGTGCGCCCAGCAAGCTCTCTCGTTTTTGACTACATTTTTCATTCCTTTCACTCCCAGAATCCACCAACAAGGGTGGATATGTAGTCCAAAAAGTAACATTTCCTTACTTTGGAGCAGACATACTTATGCATATGTGTTTGGCATTTCTTCCCCCACCCAATAAAAATACCCACCCCTCCTCCCCAGTCTTTCCTGGCGTTCATGAAAATGAAAAGCTATTTGCACTAGGTTTTCGGAACAGCTCCAGAGGGAATCGATGTGAACATCAGGCGGTTTATTTCTTGCAAAAAAAAAAAGTGCATCAAAGACTTTGCAGGCAGCTGGCAAGCCCTGGCAACCGGCTCTTCAAGAGTGACAGAGAGCCAGGAAAACTAAAAGTGAGATGGAACTATCAGCTCTCCCAAGCCCCAGATGAACAGAAAGTTGGGTGTGGGTGAGATCCTTCCCTACTATAGTAATAGCCCAATGAATTGAAGGGAGGCTGAATGAGTTTTAACCTCTATCCCCTGATCTGCACCCATCCAGAAACTCAGAGCTGGCTCAACTTTGGGAGAGGAGGGGAGCCCTGCTCCTGGCGCTCTCCCCCCACCCCCATGTCCCTTCTTCTCTAGGACCCTCCAAGTATGCCAAACTTTGGAGGAAAAGGGGATTGGACAGTATATTGAGCATTTCAAGCAGTCTGTGGGCTCTTGGCCCCCCCAAATTTGTTGGCATACTCTTGTTAGGATTGTGACAGATTCCATCTCTGTGGCTCGAAATAGTTCTATGTACTTAATTATCCCTAATTAGGTAGCTGAACTTTCAGCAGGCGCCATCCTGTGTTGTCTTGCTCATTTTGCCTCAGCAGGCAGAGATAAAGCCCATTCATATATGGGGGGGGGGAACTCCCCAAACTATACTAAGACAAAGAAGAGCTACCCAGCCCCCCCCCAAGAATATAAAACGCACTCTGGATATGGAGGGTGGGATCTTAATCAAAGAATGCAGCTATGATTACACCCTTGTGTGACCCATTTTAAGGACATTTGTCGGGAAACCATCCCAGAGAATTGTAGGCCTGCCGTTCTAATTCCATGGTGAATATTTTGCTCCAATTATTTCTCACGGTTTTTTGTTTCTGTTTTCCTTAAACAAGGCCTTGTTCTTTTTCTGATGCTGGAAAGCCTCCTAATGTAATTGAGAGACAATGCCCGGGCTTTTGTTTCCCTGCTTGGAAAACACGGCCCTCGCACAATTTTTTTTAACCTCATTATTTCTTCTACGCAGATGGGAAAAAATGATTACAGTCCATGTTAATCGCCCCTCGGAGGGTTACAGGGCAGCGCCCGAGGTTCTCTCTAGCTTCATCCCCAATATCAATCAAGCAGACTTCGCTGGTTTTGAAAAACGTTTCTCTCTCTGTTCTCCAAAACTCTGAAATCCTTTGGGCAAATCCAAGTTCTCAATAAGAACCAAATAACTTTCCAGGGTTTGCTTCCATCGTGCTCTTCTCTCCACAAGACATTCGACATTTGGGAGGATACCTTCCAGGAACACAGTCTCTTTCCGTGACGTCTTTGGAGGAAAGGTGCACAGCTGACATCGCCCAAGGTAGCTTCTCAGTATTCTTTAATATTCAGTATTATTATTTTTTAATTCAAAAAGGCCAGATTGTCATTTTAAAGTATACTCTCTATAGCGCTAACACAATGGTTTCTTTTTTTAACCCACCCAACGTCAACCTCCCTTTTCCCCTTTGCACTCCATAATACCTCTTCCCCACCTCCATCTTTTACCGCCTCCTCTTCCCCTCACCATCCCACAGGTCTGCCTTGAACGCATCTTTCCCGGCCACTCCCTTCATCCCTCCCGTTCCTCTACCGATTGATTTCCATCCTCAGCCCTCACCAAGTGCAGTAGAAACAGCACGCCATCTTCTAGCCATGCCCACGAGGTGGGCGGCCAGGTCAGTCAACTGAGGCACAGAACCCGCACTGTGGACCAGTCAAGGAGTGTCAAGACGGGAAATCGGGAGGCCCGGGTTCAAATCCCTTCTGACAGGAGGAACAACTTACCACGGTGCAGCAAAGCGGCCAGAACCACCACAGCAGAGCAAGCGCCAGCAGGAGGAAGAGGATCAGAAGCACGATGGCCAGGATGGTCCCATCAGACTGCAAAGAGAAAGCAAAGGAGGGTTGGATCGGAGTGGAACCAACGGCAGGCGTGCTGGGCTGAGACGGGGGGGCGGGGAAGATCCACATTCAAATTCGTTCACACCCACAAGACTCTCTCAGGCCCAGGACTTGCTCTTTCTGAGCCCAACCAGCGTTATAGGGAAGTAGAGACCAAACAGGGCCTTCGAGAATACAGAGACCCAACACTCTGTGACCCTTTAATGCCTTCGCTGATCTGGTGTTTTCATGGCGGACGCTCTCCCTTGGCCGATGCAGCCTGGCTGTTTCTCAGCTGGGTAGCCTTCAAGGTGCCACAAACCTCTTGCCCCACAGGCTACAAGGGCTACCAGAGGGAAACCAGGTATGCCACCTTGAACTCTCTGATGGATTAGTTTGATCAAGCGGCACCGACTTCATGCGTGACCAAACCATCGTCTGCCTTCGAAGCAACACAGAGACCCCGGGGGGGGGGGCAAAGCCTTCCCGAAGCTCCTGGTATTGCCAGAACAAACAATGCTTCTTCCAAATGAAGACATTGTCTGGCTGCACACCTGAAGGGAGGGTCTGTCCTGTGGACACCATCCTCCTCCCTTCCGAGAAGTCCTCACCCCTTTCCCACCCTCCTTATGCTCTCAAGATGAACAATTTCTCATGGCTTCCACATTCAACATCAAGTACAGGCTATTTGTTTTCAGAAACCAGCTAATATTTCTGAACCATTCCTCAGCGGTGTCATCAGGCTTTTGAGATCCGCAAGCAGGCAAAATTAGGCTTGGCGGGTGTTCAGCTCAGATGCTTTGGTTTTACAGAGCCAGACAGTTAAAATAACAAAACAAGGAGTGGGGGGGAGGGAACCTAGAATGACCACTTCTATACATCCTTCTGACATAAGATAGTACTCAAGAGCTTTGCAGATGTTGCCTCATGGCTGGGAGGGAATTGATTTCATTTCAGGTCCATGCCTTCATGTAGGCGGATTATGCAGCAGCACTTGAGAAACGGTGAAAGAATGGGCTGTGTTTGCAACTGAATTTGTAAGGTGCGTGTCTTTAAAAACGGGCTTGTGTGCTTTCCCTCTTCCCTCCTCCTCCTCCTTCATGGATCAGAAAAGACATTCTGCGAGGTCTCATTTCACTGTCTAAGAATCCTGGCTTGTTGTTACATGCAAACTAGAGGTTGCAAAACAAACTACAGTTAGTCAAACAAACCAGCATCATAATGTACAGCTTGGATGGTATCTTTAGGGTCTGATCTGTTTTAAAGCGTTCTACATTGATATGTAAGGAAAAGCCAGCATGTGTGAACCCTGAAAAGTAAATCCCTCAGGAAATCCTCTGGGCTACAAATGGGGAAGGCAAGGGAGAATCCTAAATTGTTGCTCAGCATCGTGTGTGGATTGCAGCCGCCCCCCCATGGAAGCCAAGAGCACAAAAAACTTTTAGATAGCCAGTGAATGGGGTGTGACATTTGCTTCTTTGACTGGAAACAGTTCTCCAAGGTGTTGAGACTCATGACTTCTGTTCTTAGGCAGCAAGTACCCTGATGGAGATTTCTAGTGGCCCTCAAAGCAATGTGAGGATGTCTTAGATTTATGGCCCAGTCTCCTTCCTCTCCTACACTGTTCACAGCATGAGTGGGACCCACTGCTAATTCTAGGTTTAAAAACTGGAAAAGGAAGAGAAGAACTTGGTGTGAGCACACACCTGCTTCCCACACACAAGGCTGCAGGTTTGATCCCCAGCACTTCCAGCTAGGGCTAGGAAAGGACATCGGGTCCAAAGCCCTAGAGAGCCACCATTCCCTGTCCATGTCAATAACGCTGAGCTAGCTGGAGGGCTGGTCTAGCAGGGCACATCCAGCCACTTCTTTGCAAAACTGTCTGGTCTTAGAATGGGACGGGTTGAAGTCTTCCGACTCCTTGCTCTTGCAGAAGGCATTCATTCACACCTTAACCAAATCAGAGAGCAAAAGACCTTCAAGGCAATTAGTATGTGGTCACCTCAAATACGACCACCACTGTCCTCGTGTGTCCAATGGGACAGGCCCCAGGTAAATATACGATAAGATATTTGCAGGCTTAAAACACATGGCTTATTGCCATTCCCTCAACTGCTCTGGAAAACAAATGTTCCAAAACTGCCAAACTCCCTCCCTCCCCCCCCCTTTAATCTGCTTTTCTCTATGCTAAACACATGCAGTTCCTTAAGCATTTTCTCCTAGGCTATTTATCATCCCTGTAGGTTCCCTCTAAATTGTTTCCAGTTTATCAACATTCTCCTTGAACCATGCTGTGCAGAGCAGAGCTGAACAGGAGAGAGACTCCAGATGAGGAGGGCGAAGGACCCAGAGACACCCTGCACTCAGGATCGAAAGAGAGGAACAGCCCGCACCCTTCTTGACACTCAAACACAAAGGCTGCCACTCACGAAAGCAGCCAGAAGCTCTACGATTGTTTTCAGCGAAATGCAGACTGGCCCAAGCTATAGCAAACAGCAATCGGAAACTTTTAGCTCTAGTTCATTAATAAAAGTCTAAAATATAGTTGTGATTTCTTAAAAAAAAAAACTAGCTTTTTTTCTGCTGACTTTATTAAAAGGAGTGTTATTTTTAGACAAAAGTTTGGATTTGTCAGAAGCGACCCCGCTATGATCCTGCACCACATCTGCTTATGTTGCAAGGCACATCCCAAGGGGCCAGATGTTTTAAAGTAACTCTGCCTTGCCCAATGAACTTGGGATGGGTCCAAGCCTCCGAGTCTCGACGCGGGGAGAGCTTGTTAGCAAAGGCCGTTTCACCAAAAAGAAAGGCTTTTTCCTGTCCAAGGCATCGCCTGCAAGCTGAGCTGTAACTAGCCCTTCCTGGCACCTGGGGGCAACCGGCACCCTTTCCAGCCTGCCCTGCCCTCAGGCACAAGAGTGAGTCACCAGCAAGGAAGGAGGAGGAGGAGGAGGTGCCCCTAGGAGAAAGAGAAAGCTGATGCTTTCCAAAAAAAGAGAGAGAGGAACGTGCATAAGGCTGGAAGGGGGTGCCATTGATCCACCCGTTAAGTTTTGGTGCCCTGGGACAACGTGCCCGTTGCCCTGCTTTAGTTGCAACCCTGCCTGCAAGCACATGGCTGGGAATGCCGCCTGCCCCTTTATTTCCTCCTCTTTCAAAAAGGGGGATTCTGTCTATGGGTTTTAGACATGGAGTTTCTTCCCACTGAAAGGCAGTTGAATTAAGTCGTGTCCTCTTTTCCCTGCTCAGTAGACTGATGAATGAGGTTTGGCCAACCCCAACCCAAACAGAACCAACCGCCTAGCCACCTCCCGCATTCTATAATGCCACTCACAAATGGCCACCACAATGCAAACGCTTTGAAAGGAGACCGTCCTATTATTTAATTTAATTCCTAGTCAGGTAAAATGAGAATCAGGGAGAATTTTTTTTCCACTGGTTAATCCACTGATTGAATTTTAATTCCTAGTCAGGTAAAATGAGTCTCTGCTGATTAATCAGAGGGAAATTTTTTCCACTGGTTAATCCACTGATTGAAGCAATTAAAGTCTATGGCTCTAATTAAGAGGCATTTTATTTCTCCTGGATGAAAGCGTATCAGGTTTCATCAGAGCATGGATGGTTTCATTTCAGCCTAAGAATGCAAGGCTCCCAGTCCACCGTCTTTAGTCCCCCTGGAGAACAGCAGCGGCAGGCGGTTTATCACCCTCAGGCTTACTCAGAAATACCTCCATTTTGCTCCTGGTGAAGAACAACAATGGAGAGCGGAAAATTATAGCAGACTGAAGAGATTCATACAAATGGGATCACGCTATAGATCTTTGTAATAAAAGGGGAAATCAGGGTGGGCCAAATACGTTCAGCTTGGGCATGGATTAGAGTCCGGCTGGAATGCCTTTTGCCCCTGCACCGTGTGATTGCCGGGAAGCAGATCACACCGCACTGCTCTACAAGCGATCTGAATTGTGATCTCTTTCCCTGTGGGATCACATCCTACGTTGCAACTAGAGTTAGGCCCATTGAATCCATGGAAATCCGGTGAGTCAGCTCCTCAGCAAGTTCCATTGATTCAATGGGCCTACTCTAGTTGTGGCTTACTACGCCAAGCAACAGGATTTCAGCCAATGGGGAGTATGTGAGTATTGACTTAACGTTGAGCTATTGATTCTAGTTTGGATTTACAAGAGGAAGCTGGCCAGATAGATTCCAGTTGCTAATAACTTTCGAGGCTCAAATGGCTTTGTTTTCTGTCCAGATTTTTTCACAAAGGCTTTATATTTTTAAAAAATCCTTTAATATGCTGTTTGTTCCCTAAGAAAACTGAAGCAGCAGCTTTAAAAAAAAAGCCTCATAGATTAAAAGCCATTGCAAATCAAGCGTGACTTGAAATCTGATTCTCTGTGCCAAAGAAACTAGATAGGCAAAAAAAAGAGGCTTCGCTTCTCGCATTTTTGCAAAGCTGAGAGAAAGAAAGAGAACAGCAGCCGGCAAGACATCGAGGGGCATAAATCCGCTTTTTGGAGGCCTTTTCGTAGCTGCTTCCTCAAAGCCTGCAAAAACAGACTGTAGTCCAAGTACTGCTATTGCTACTCAAAAGAATGCATGTAACAATACACCTCGGATATTAAAACAGTTTTTTCTGACAGCAGGCTGGGGCTAACATACCCTGAAAGAGGATCCAGTGACCTGCGCAGGTACTTGTAATCACTGTACCTACGGAGACGGTCATGAGCCAAAAAGACGATGATGACAACCCAATCTGGTTCATGGTTCAGTTTATGCAGTTTTTGACTATGTGGCGTCATAACCATGCACAACTCCAGGTGGTTTCCAAGAACATAGGAAGAGCCCTCCAGGGCCAAATCAAAGGCCTACTGAAGGCAGCTCTCAGTCTGCCATCCTGGTGTTGGGAGTTTTTACAACCTCTCATGCAGCCTGGAGAGGGTGTGGCTTGGAGGGACCTTTATGGACTGGGGTGATGACCATCAATCCATCCCACC